AAACCATTTTCTTTCCTCTTAGCAAGTATAGTTATAGATAAACACACCCTTAGAAGCAGACAAACAAAATGGATCCCGTTGAGTACAACATATGTGATGGGTGCTAATACCTTTCCCTTGCATAATCGACTTCCTTACTTTTTCTCTTGGTCGCAACACCATCTTATCCATCCTCTTGTGGTTTTCTCGATATTTCCCCTTCCTTCGGGATAAATAAAGTTCGGTGACGGCTCTGTACTTTTTGCTAGTAGCTTCAATGTTAAGTAATCATAAGTGGACTTATATAAAAGTCACACCTATGTGAGGCTGGTCAATGGCAATTTATGTGTCATACATGTTGGAGGAATGATACAAAATCCTCTTCCTAAAATAATGTAACACAATGATAAAAAAAAAAGCAAAAAGAAGAAGATAGAGAACGAGAAATGATCAACACAATTGAAATGTGACAAGGGATCATCTATCATCAATTTCAACCATTCAAGCTCACAATGCAATGGAATAAACTTTTCATTAATCCAAAGTACAAAAAATGATCAAATGATCATTTTAATAATAAGTTTGAAATGATGAAAGTTCATACAACCAAAGCATCATTCAAAGACCAATTGAAATTGATGAAGCAATAATTAACCAATTCATGATCAAAAGTCAAACAAAAATAGATCAAAAACAAGATTAAAAATGATTTAAAATGAAAATTAAATGGAAAATTCTAGAGAAGCATCAACACATCAAATAAATTGCTAAAAAAATTTGAGAAAGTTGGAAATATTCTAAATAACTGAATCTCAAAAGTTGGAGAACAAAATATTCAAAAGTGTGTGAAAAATAAATGTTAAAATAAAATTAAAAAAGAAAATAGAAAGAAAATAGCAAAAAATGCTATGAAAATTAAATTAAAAAAGAAAATAGCAAAAAATGCCAAAAAAATCATTTTTAAATTCTGAAGAAAAAAAGTGATAGAAAATAATTTTTGTGATTTATGAAAAAATTGGAGTAAAAAAGGTCAAAGAAACTATTTAAAATAAATCAGAAAAGAAAAGGAAATAAAAATGAATTAAAACAAAAGGAAAATAAGAAAAGGTTAACGACTAGCATGTGTGTCATGCTCTGATTGGCTGGAATTCAAACTTCCCACCAAAGCGTGCACTGAGTTGCACCATCTTCAACCTTGGACCAATTTCTACAAATCCATAAACTCTGAGCTTGAAGCTCAAACAACACATGGTTAAGCTTCTATTCATGTCATTGTTCATGTCTCTCTGCATCAGAGCCATTGATTGATTCTGAGCAGATAGAATTTGCTTAAAACACAAAGAAACCTAGTTTCTTCAAATAAATGACAAATGCGAAGAATAAATTTCAGGTAAGTGAGGGCTTTTGATCAATTAATCAAGACGAAGAGAGTGGGAACTTGTTTGCTCAAAAATTTAACTCGTAACTACCTTTTTAGTTGAACCTTCGAAGGTCAATAATGGTGAAATTGAGTTGAAGGTTGTAGGAAGTTGCAAGCTTCTGTAATGGTTCATTTAGCTTCAGATGGTGTCGATGAGTGATTCTGGGCAAAGATTTGAAGTTAAAACAAGCTTAAGACGAAATGAGGGTTTCTGTTTTTTGAAGCTTTTCGGGAGTGAAAATGGCAGGGGTTTTGTGGTTGTTCAAACTTGCAAATGAGAGCACAATGGTCATCTATTTATAGGAAACACAATGAGGTCATGGTACGTGTGAATTCAGATCTAGAACGTGTGAACCAAGTTGGAATTTCTTGTTTTACAATTCGTGTGAAAATAAGTGTGAAATGTATGAGTTTGACACCAAATCGGGTTGTTTTGCACTCTACACTACACATTTTGCAATCACAAACAAGTTTGGCACATATACTGGTGGTCCTAAGCGAAATTTTGGTGATTTTAGGTTTTGAGTTGCACAAAATGCAGAGCCCATGGCACCATATTGGAGCTTAGGCCAAATGAGATCCACTTGTGCATTTTGAAATGTTCTTCGTGTCAAATGATCTTTGCATGATGAAGAATCAAATGCAAAAAGAATCACACCAAAAGGATGCTTGAGTTGAAAATGGCATGAATGACAAGTTCAAGTCATGACCTAATTTCTGGGTCAGGCAATAGGTCGAACTAGGTTTTGGACTAGCTTTTGTGCACACATAGGCATCTCGTCCAATTCTAAAATTGATATACTTAGAGGCAAAATTGATGTTTAACCTTTGAAACAAAGTTGTAGAGGAGTTCAAATGTGATATTTTGCTCAAAGTAGATTCTAAAAATGTTGAGAAATGAGAGAGTTATGGTATTTGGACCAACTGATATGCCATACTTGATTTTAGGACAGCCAATCATGCACCAACTTATGACTTTCGATATTTCCTTGCATCCAAAGGCCTAATAATGAACATTTGAATACCAAATGAAGAAATCTTGATTGTCCCTTGAATAATCTTGATAATTTGATGGAGATGGCATAGAAAAAAACACATGAGCCATACTTGAATCATCTTTGAAATCATGCACCAAATTTGAACTTCCCTATATCAAATAATGTTGAATGAAGCTTGACATGAATATGATTTAAGGTTATAGGTCATGCCTTGAAGTAAAAGCTCTTGCAGACCACTTGTTGACCAAAACTTTGACCTTGGGAACCAAAATCCTAATTTAGAAACTAAGTTTGATCCTTTTATTGCAAGTCCCTACCTTGTACAATATTAAAAGAAAGCAACACATATTTTTGTATTTTGAATAAGATTAGAAAAGTTAAAATGTAAATAAGCATAGATGCAAAAAGAAACACAAGGGTACTTAGTGATCTCCCACTAAAGTTGAACCAAATGAGAAAAGGTTAGGAGGATGCCATACTTATGATCTTAGGTTAGATACAAATGATATGATAGGTGGAATCTTAGGGGTAAAAATTAGAGTATGACAATAATATTTGAAAATAAAAAACTTCCATTTTAAAGTTACATAATTGATTATGCCTTTTGACATAACTGATTATGAGACTTAAATAGCCCATGGATTATTTCTTCTATAAATATAGGGCTTTTCTATCATTTCAAATCATCCAGAAAATGAATTTTGATCCCTCTTACTCACTCTCCACCTATTTTTTCTACAAATCTATCTTTTTCTCACTTAAGTTCTGCCTTAGTGATTTGATGGTGAATTTGTGCTTTGTGATTTCTACAAATCTATCTTTTTCTCACTTAAGTTCTGCCTTAGTGATTTGATGGTGAATTTGTGCTTTGTGAGGATCAATGTTTCATATTTGGGTGGCACGTTTATAAATTGCTCAAGAGTGGTTTATCTCGTGGAATATTTCCCTTGTAAAAATATGTTTTTTGTTGTGACCTAAGCAATGGCGAATTCACCATTTTTAGTTCCACCCCCCCATATGCAAGTGTCGGGTCCTCATTAGTAATAGAAGGATGAATAACAAAAAAAAAATTCCCCTTGACGTCATTATCAAATAATTTATCAATCAAGCTCCAATTCTAGTCCCCTGCTTATTGATCAGCTAAGCCACAATTAAATGGTCTATCTCAGAATTGAAAGTCATATATCTTTGGAGTAGAAAATTCATAGCCAACAGAACTAGCATCATTTATAACGTATTTGCCTCTAAGAACTTCACACCACAAAGCTCTTTCACCACTCTTTAACTTCCAAGCCAGTTTAGCGATGCAAGCCCAATGTCAATGAGATTTCTTTGCCCCAAACCTCCCTGATTCTTAGCACAAGTGATCTTCTTCCAGTGGATTGTATGAATATGTTTGGCACATTCATTGTATCCCCATATGAAAGATCTCTGCATTTTGTTGTATCTATTAGAGGCAGCTCATTGGGATCATTCTTCACATCATGGAGTAGGTATGAGTAGCTTCCAACATAGATTTGGCAAAAGTAATCCTGCCAACCATTGGTAGCTACTTCTGTTTCCACTTTGCCAACTTCTTTTTAACTGTATCCAAAAGATGTTGGTATTATGCATTCTCAGGGCTATTACCATATAGATGAACTCCATGGTACAATCATTTCTTGTTTCCTTGAAACCTAAGTCAGCAATAATCTGTCTCCTCATACTATCATTAGTGTTCTTAGAAAATATTATGCTAGATTTTTCTTTGCTAATTCTTGACCAGAGATTTCACAAAAGTGATAAAGGATACCTTTGATCTCCTGCATTTGTTTAATAGTGGCTTTCCTAAAGAGCAGTAAGTTGTCCGCAAACATGAGGTGGGTTATCTTGGGGCCTTTTTCCCCGTCTTCATGTCTTCCCACTTTCCATCCTTGACTGCATCAGTGATCATATGAGTGAGTTTTTCCATGCAAAGAACAAAAGATAGGGAGATATTGGGTCTCCCTATCTTAGTCCTTTATTTATCTCAAAGTATTCATCCTTCTTGCCTTTCCAATTGATTGTCATTTGCACAGTGGTAATAGCCTGTGTAATCAAGTTTCTCAGCACATCAGGTATACCCGCCTCTATGAGAACATGATTAACAAACTTCCAGCTAATTTTGTCCTAGGCATTGGTCAAGTCAATTTTGATTGCAAAAGTTCCTCGTTTACCTCAGAGATTTCTCATACAATGCGTCATCTCTTGAGCAACTAGGATATTCTCGTGAATACTTCGCCCAAACATAAACCCAGTTTGACAGGGGGAGATTAGCTACCCAATAACCCTATTAAGTCTATTGACAATGACTTTACTCTGAATTTTGTAAGTAGAGTTACATAGAGAAAAAATATGAAATTGGTGAACAGTATTAAGGCAATTTACCTTGGATAACAAGCATAATTTTGTTCTATTTATCTCTCCAATGCAGTGTGGGTTAAGCCACGTGTAATGAATGAAGTCACACACCTCTATACCTACTTTATCCCACGACTTTTAATAGAACCCTGTTGGAAATCCAGCCAGGCCAGGGGACTTCCAAGGTGCCATATCAAAAATCGCATGCTTAACTTCTTCTGATTTCAAACCTTCATGAAGCTGCTCAAGCCACTCCTTCGTAAGAATAGGGAAAACATTGTGGTCTGATGCCAATCTACGACCTCCACATCAGGCGTATAAATGGTCTGAAAGCATTCATTGAACTGATTTTTGATGAGCACGAGATCTTCAATCCATGCACCTACAATATCCTTTATCATGTTAATATTCTTCCTTTGCCTTCTGCTCAAAGCTTTTAAAAAGAGGAAACGCGTGTTGCGGTCTCCTTCAATCAACCGATCCATTTTTGAACGTTGATACGACATAAGCTCTTCTTGATGAAGCACCTTATCTAGCTCAATCTGCAGCTTTATTTCCAACTTATTAAGACCTGCGTGCCAATTGTGAGCTTGGTTAATTTTCTGAACTCCACATATCTGGTTCGATATGTTGTTTTTCTTTTGCGCGAGGCTCCTAATTGTATGATAATTCCACTTTCGAGCATTTCTCTCGACTTCCTCCAACTTGGAAATCAAATTACCTTCATCTTTCCACGCTTCAGTGAGCACCTCATAAGATTCCTCAAGGACCCAGGCACATTCAAACTTGAAATCATAGTTTTTATCCCTCTTGTCATCATCATTTTGCAGAGTAATTACAATCAAATGATGATAAGAGAAATCAACTCTAGTAAGCACTTTTTTTACCTTCAAGTTCAGGAAAAGTAGCTTCCATACATCGTTGCAAAGAGCTCTATCCAGCTTTCCATACACTCTCATACCACCCCTTGTAGATTGGACCATGCCATCAGAATACAAATTCATAAGATTACAAGAGTTTATTCTGCCCATGAAAAGGTTACACCTTCAAATCGAGATAGGAGCTCCACCCCTTTTGTCCACTGCTTCCAGAAGATCGAAATAGAGAGCTATTCATGTGAATGAATTAGAAGTGAATTTGGATAATCGAAATAGAGAGCTTTTCAATCTTCCATGATAGAGCAATTCCCCCTGAAAAACCTCGACCCCCTGCACAACAAAAACCATCAAAACCTAATTGCTTGAATTTGCCTTTGAGCTTTCCTAGACCGATTATAGTTTCCAGCACCACAAAAATATTCGAATTAGAAACCCTGCAGTAGTTCGTGCACACCCTTTGAAACGCTTGATTTGCTGCTCCTTTACAATTCCAAATAAGGATATTGCATTGTTCCTGAATCATAAACTGAATGGTTTGGTTGAATCGATTTAATGTTGAGCCTGGGGCATTTCCTCCACCACTTCCATTTTCTATTCACCTTCCTCTTCCTCCATCGTGCCATTTTTCACCGTCCAAGTTGATAAGTTACTCTCCAGGATCTCCACACAATTGTTTTGATTTTCCTCTATCCGGCCATCATCAGGATCAACCTTAGGTCCTTGGGCCTTGACCTCTATTGAGCCCAAGTTATCCAAATTTCTGCCATAATTTGAATTAGGTATGTTTTCACCATCATCATTCATCACTTTGTCCTTTCTATAGGACTCACCCACATGGATATCTCTAATTAAATTTCCCATCTCCCTGTCTTCCATTGGCTTTCCCAGGTCCAATTTCCCTATTCATGTGCACTCCTTTTTGTCTTATCCTTGGCAATTCCATGTTAACCTATCTCAAGATTCACTTGTGTGCTTTTTGTTTTCTTACGCTTTCTCATTTCACGCCCACTTTTTTCCGCAATAGGTCTCATGTCCTCTTCTTCCTGCGTAACTTTTAAAGAAAATTCCTGAGTTGTGTTGTTGATCATTATAACCATTTACCTTCTACTATTATTATCCTTTACACATTCATCCTCCATGTTCACCTTTGTAACTTCCTTGTTGACTAACATGAATCTTGACCTTTGGGGTGGTTTTAGGCCGTTTGAGTCATCCTTGTGCTCTTTGTCATCATTGTTCTTCACCGCCGAGTTTCCCCTATCTCCCATATGCCTTTGCTTTTCCTAGGGCGTCTCATTTTTTGAACAATAGTTCAAGGCCCGGTTTTCTCAGGTGTTGGCACAACTACTCCTTTACCTTTGTCCCTCGTGTCTATTATTTCCATTTTAACTTTTTCAACCTCCATTTGCTTGGCCACACAACCATAAGTGTAGCGGTAGACAAAAAAGTTTAAAAAGACTGTTATTTAAAGAAATTTTTTTAGAGAGAAAAAATGAAATTGACAATATTTATGAGTAACACAAATATATTTAACCCTTTCTAAGTTTAAAAGGATTAAGATTTTTGTATATTTTAGTTTTTTCCACTATAAATAAATATAGGAACGGTTTGTTTTAACTTTTAAAGAATGAATTTTTTTCTTTGTATTTTAAAAAATAGATTTTATGAAACTATTTTTTAAAATATTATAAGTTTTTTATATTTGTATTTTTTAAATTAAAAGATTAATTTTGACATCATGTAATATAAACATACATTATTGAATATCAAAATATAATCGAAATTATAATTTTTTTTTAAAATTGTATCTCAAAAATGATTTTTATGAAAAACTAATTAAAATAACTTCAAAATTAAGTGAATTTTAAAATTTTGATATAAATTTTTTTTTTAATAAAATGATGAAATATCTTAAATGATAATTTAATAATAATTATTCAAATCAAGTTTTTATTTAAAGCTTTTATGAAAAATTTGTTTATAATTTTTTTAAATAAAATTGTAATATAAAAATCATTAAAAAAATCAAAACAAACATGTCAATAATATATAATCTCTTTAAAAGTTAAAAAATTTCAAATAAGTTAAAGACTAAAAATTAATTAAGTGGAAGATGAATTTTCATTAAATACAAATCGTTCAGGTACTACTAAAATTCAATTTTTAGTAGAAACAAGACTTAATCTATGACTCGTCCCTCTAAACCTAAAAACTAAATTAGTTGATTTATTAATCGGAAGTGATTGGCAAAAAAAATTTAATTAAAACTAAAATCTACTAGTGTCTATACCTGTGCGAGGCACGGGTAAAAAATTCGTAAATAAATAAAAAATATTTATTAGGTATAATCTTTGAATTTATTAGGATATATATTGTTTTTATTTTATACTAAAATATTTGATTATGACATTGAATTATGAGTTAGGTTGTTTTAATTTGATTGTGACATTGAATTAGAAGTTATGTTGTGTTAATTTTTTTGGAAAAAAATAATAGTGACATTGTGATACATTGAAATTATACACAGAATGTAATCATGGTGTTATCCAAGGTATTCTAACAGGTAGAATGGAGTTATCCATTAGCAGGAATTCTAGCGGGTAGCATGGGTAATCTAAATTTTTTTCCACAAATTCTATTTATATCAGTATGATACAGTTAAAACTGTGTAAGTTGGAAAAGATATGAATCTTAAAATGAAAAATTAATTCTACTGATATTACTCAAAATAAGTTTGATATTTCAATTACCTTATGATGGACATGATAATTATAATTACTCAAAATTAATGTTTACGCAATTTACGCAATGAAACTTAAACCAAAACCAACAACAGCATTTATGTAAACATATCATCGCAGAAAAGCAAATATAAGTCAACTGGGTTAAACACATGCCCCAAATATCCAAAGTATTATTAGTTTAGGCCGGGAAAAGTGCCATAAGTTTTAATAAGATAACTTTGAAAAAATTTAATATAAATTAGATGGAGCATGTCCATCAATCCTTCTCAATCTTTATGTTTTTGGTAATTCTTGAGCTGCTCCCATCACCCTTTTAACAGGAGTGCATTCTGTAGCATCACATCCAATATGCTTGGACACTGAAGAAGTGTCTTCACATATATCATGAACGACCCCAACATCCATGTGAATATAATTAACACCGGCCGCCGAATCATCCTCAAAACGGACAAAACAACACCGTCATTACTTACATGAATAGAAATGCTAGATTTGCCTAAATTTTTTTGAAAATTTAAGATAGTATAAAGCACCTTGACAACATATTTGAATTTAGTGACAATTTCTTTGTCGGCACAAACTTTTTTGACGCTCAACGTCTTTTCAAAATCACAGTTGACATCATTTTTGACATCACACACAACACACACGCACGCACACCCACACACACATTATAAATAGTAAATAAATATAATATAACAATGGTTAAGAAATGTATATAAAAGATATACAAATTAAATTATGTTTACCCGTCAGAAATGTATATTTTAGTAGTTTAAGATGTTTAACATATTTCCTAATAGAATAATAATCAGAAGAAAAAACAAAATTTAAATAAAAAGAAAGAATGAGCCTAAAGAAGGTTGTAAGGGTCATCGGAAACCCTAATTATTAAAGAAGGAAATGGACAAAGAGAAAAAACATTAAATCAAAAGCAAGATATGTAGAATAAAGCACATAATACCTCCCTCTGTCTGCCACGCTTCCATTTCACCGTCGATTCCTTATCATCTTTGTTTCTCTTTTCATCTTTCTCTCCTTGTTTTCAAACTCGCTCTCTCACTCACTCTCTGTTCTTTCCAAATCTCATGAAAACAAACAACAACAATCCTGCTTTCATTCTCACGGTTCCGATTTTGTTTTCATAACCTCAAAACTCGGATCCAAACTCTTTATCTCTCATAAGTCGCTTATTACAATTATGTTTCAATAATCATCTATTTGTTTCGACTTTGTTCGATTACAAAGTTTTTACGATTTTGATTTCAATTTTCACAAGGAAAACAACAATCAATCAACACAACCACACCTGGATTCGTAGCTTGAACAAGACAAAGTCTAGAAAATAAATTGAAAATTCTTCTAAGGTAAATTCTTGTGTCTCGAATCAAAAGTGATCTGGATTGGGCCTACACTCGCCCTTCGAATAGGAAGCCCAAAAATAGACATCCCAAGTTAGGGACCGTTGGGCAACTCCCCACACGTCTGTTGGGGAACGTGGCCCACGATCTCACGACAGTCATCTTAAATTGCCCTCCAGGAATCACGGGTCCAACCCTATTCTCACGGAGCAGTTGACCAGGGGGGAGTCCACTTGCTGGACTCCATACACATGTAAGCCCTAGTAGTTCTTGTTAGTGGGCCTCAACGTGGCTGAATAATGGGGACCTTGGCTCAGCGCTGGGGGCTATAAATACCTTCTCTTCTGAGAGGGTCAGGTATTCAACACTTTCTAACTCTTACACTTTCTTGCTCATTCCGCAACTTATTTTGCCATCAGAATGTCTTGTAGGTACCCCCCATCTCATTCAACTTATGCCCGAGCTAACTGTGATGGTCCATTCTGATTCGGTAAGATCAGTGGCTCCGTCTGTGGGAACCTTGCTTCCCCGTCTTCCGTTTACTCGAGACCAAAGCTAAACCATTCCTGATTGTCATGGATGACCAGATTGCAGAAAACATGAACGTTTGTATCGTCGACATCAACAACAACATCGCCTACAATAATGTCGGCCTCGACAACACCGATACCGCCAGCCACAATACAACCCCCGCCATTAATATGCTCGGGCCTTCTGACTATAGAGACGGAGCAACTGCCTCGTCATCATTGATGCCTCCACGACTCGAAGACGATCAGCCACCTCCCCAGAACTACCAACCCATTCAATTCCATGAGGTCTCCGTTCCCGCCGGAGTAGACGCCACGACCAGGGCACTGTTTGCGGCGATAAATCAAACCAACTACCTGATCTTTGCTCAAGGAGAGAGATTGAGGGCGCTCGAAGATGCTCGGAGAGCCCCCAGAAGACACAGGAGACCTCCGTATCTTCCTCCTCGCCAAGCAGAGGAACATCCCCAATCTCCCCTGCAGAGACATAGTCAGGACATCTCTCGAAGTCCTTCTCCCCGACCAATCGGGTGACGCCCCGCATTAGAAAGGGACCAACCCATTGACACAGGGAGACGCAATCATGCCCCCTCGCGTCAAGAATGAAGACCCCCTGGAGACAGAACGGGGGAAACAACGAACGACCATACCGCCCGAGGAACGCTCTGCGCGATCAGGGCCACCATAACCGCCACTACATCAGATCCCTGTCTCGCTCGCTCGACAGGAGTGACGAAAATGACCCCTACGGTCCCTTGTCACAAGCCATTATGGAGGCACCCATCCCCCCGGGCATGGTGAAGCCTCCCCACCTGAAGGAATACGACGGCATCGCCGACCCGGTCGACCATATAGACAGGTTTGAGGCCATGTTACATTATCACAATGTCGGGGGACCAATCAAATGTCGGTTTTTCCCCATGACTTTGAGGAAAGCTGCAATGGACTGGTACAAAAGTTTCACCCTGGGATCAATCACCTCCTGGCGAAATCTAAAGAACCAATTCATCAGTTCGTTCACTGCTTCGCAATGACACCCAAAGACCGAAGCAGCCATCGAGGCCATCGTCCAGAGACACAATGAGACCCTGAGGGAATTTATTAATCGGTTCAACCGGGAGGCCATCCAGGTCCCCTGTACCGATCACATGAAGAGATACCTACTCGAGAGGGGACTCCTCCAGGGAACAGAATTTAGAAAGGCTGTAGGCATCGAACCGGCCCGGAAATTCGATGCCCTCCTCGAGAAAGCCAGAGCCTACATGGACTACAAGGAGAGGGAAGCGGCCAACAGAGTCCGGGATCCCAGAAATCGCGGATCTACCAACCATCTGCGACAAGACACCGCCCCTCCTCGACGAACTGGCGAGAAGAGAAGGGACGACAAACCCCAAGACCCTCGGGAACAAAGAGGACCCTCGGGGAGGTTTATTGAGTACACTCCTCTAACGGCTTCCCGCAAGCGCATCTTAGCGCAGTCCACAAACACATATTTCAAGGACGGTGGCGTCAAGCGTCCTCGCCCCGCTCCTGCTAAACCCGGGACAGATCAAAGAAAATAATTCCAGTATCACCCGAGCCATGGGCACTTGACTGAAGATTGTGTCCATCTCAAGGATGCTACCGAGACCCT